TCTATTTTTTTTTTTTTAGTAGAGACAGGGTTTCACTCTTGCTCAGGCTGGTCTTGAACTCCTGAGCTCAAACAATCCGCCCACCTCGGCCTCACAGAGTGCTAGGATTACAGGCGTGAGCCACCGCACCGGCCTGAGATAAGGTCTTGCTCTCTTACAGGAGGCTAGAATGCAGTGGTATCATCACTACTCACTGCAACCTCAAACTCCTGGGCTCTTGCCTCAGCCTCCCGAGTAGGTGGGACTAGAGGCACACAACACCCCACCTAATTTTTCTATTTTTTGTAGAGACTGGGGGTCTTGCTATGTTGCTCAGGCTGGTCTTGAACTCCTGGCCTCTAGACCAGGGTTCGTGAGAGAAAAAGAAAAAAAGAGAAACGAACTCCTGGCCTCAAGTGATCAACCCACTTCAGCCTCACAAAGTGCCACTCCACCCAGCCCATTTTAACCATTTTTAAGTGTACAATTCGGTGTCAATTAGAACAGCGGTCCCCAACCTTTTTGGCACTAGGGACCAGGTTTCATGGAAGACAATTTTTCCACAGAGCTCTGTGGCCTGGTCCCTTAACAGGCCTCAGACCACTACCAGAGGTTGGGGACTGCAGATTTAGAACATTAACAAAGTTGTAAATTCATCACCACTATCCAACTTGAGAACTTTTTCATTACCCCAAACTGAAGTACTGAACCCATTAAAAAAATAACACCCTATTACTCCCTCCTCCCAGCCCCTGGTAACCTCTCATCTTCTTCCTGTCCCTGTGAATTTGCCTGTTCTAGGTACCTTTCGTAAGTGGGATCATACAATATTTGTCCTTTTGTATGTGGTTTATTTCATTTAGCATCATGTTTTCAATGTTGTAATGTTATCCATGTTGTAGTATTAGAATTTCATTCCCTTTTAAGAATGAATAATATTCCATTGTATATATACACCATATTTTGTTTATCCATTCATCTACTGATGAACACTTGGTTTGTTTCTACCTTTTGGCTATTGTGAATTATGCTGCAATGAGCACTGGTTGGCATACAAGTATCCGTTCCGCTCCCTGTTTTCAATACTTTTGGGTATATACCCAGGAATGGGAGTTGCTCCACCATATGGTAATTTTATGTTTAACTTTTTTTTCTTTTTAAGCAAGGCCCATCACTTGAGAATCTATGTTTAACTTTTTAAGGAACCACCAAACTGTCTTCCACAGCAGCTGGACAATTTTCCATTCCCAAGAGCAATGCACAAGGGTTCCAACTTCTCCACATCCTGGATATTTTCTGTTTTTATTTTAATAATAGCCATCTTAACAGGTGTGAAGTGATATCTCATTGTATTACAATGTATTTTTAGTCTCTTATTTATAAATAGAAGTCCACTTTCTATTTATTCTATAATTATATGTGGTGCAGCAACTTGAGACATAAAAAATATTTAAGTACCAAAAAAAAATAGCACAGGGTTACAAAGATTTTAAGTCAACTCAATATATCTTGAAAAAGGTATCAGAAATGACAAAGAGTAAATGAAGACTTAATACTAAAATTTGTAACTGTTTTATGCATCTGAGATTAATTTCTAAAATACCGATGTTTTGTGTAAACAAAAATTGTTCCAAAGCAGGTTACAGGTTTGTGATTTATAGAAATGACAGTGAAACAAACCTAGAAGTCACTTCTGAAATAAACCTTTAAAATCACACTTATCCCTGGGAGATAGTTGTCACTGTCCTCATTTTCAAGATAAGAAAATCTGAAATCAAACAGGTTTGACAACTTGTCCAAGACCACAAAGCAAAACTGTGGCAAAGATTTGGAAAACAATCCCAGCTTTCCCCAAAACCCATAACGTAACATGCAATAAGTCAAGGGAAACCCAGAAGTACAATTTTACTCTTTTAGCATGAACAAACTTAGGGACATTGCCCAGCACACTGAAGCTTACAACCTCCTACAGCAATGACCATTAATTAACTCCTTGCCACCTGTGACTTGAATATGTGGCCAGGCCAGATTCAACTCAGAACTATTTTTTTTTTCTGTGTAATCTAATAACACTAAAATTCTAACTTTGTCTCTCAAGTGTTTTCATTGTTTGGCTAAATTTTGACTGTTCAAAAGTAGGATAATTCTAATGTTAAACTGACGAAGTATATACTGAACCAACCAAGCAAAATGGAATTGCTTCTTGACATCCTTGCTTAGATCAGATGTAGAAAATGTTATCTATCTTCTTTCCTGCAACTCACACACTAAATTGTTTACTCTCACCAAATTTCATTCAACTGTTTAACCAAATTTAAAAAAAAATATATTCACAAGGACGTTTTGAGAAATGCATACTCAAAGGCCACACTGTTGGTTCCTGCCTTTAATACCAGCACTTTGGGAGGCTGAGGCAGGAGGACCACTTGAGGTCAGGAGTTCAAGAACAGCCTGGGCTATGTAGCGAGACCCTGTCTCTACAAAAAATAGAAAAACTAGCCCGGGCATGGTGGCGCTGGCCTGTAGTCCCAGCTCCTCGAGAGGCTGAGGCAGGAGAATCGTCTGAGCACGGGAAGTGGAGGTTGCAGCGAGCCGTGACCGCGCCACTGCACTCCAGCCTGCACCACAAAGTGAAACCCTGTCTCAAAAAAGAACAAAAAACAAAAAACGATACTCAAGTAAGCAAGGGTGAAATGACCTGACTGAGATTTGCTTTAAAAACACTTCGATATTTCTCCAAATAAGGTCCCAAATAAGAAAGAACAAAAAAAGAGAAAAAAAAATACTTTAGCAAAGAAAAAAAAAGTATAGGTGAAACTTTGTGACAAATACTGACAACTGTTGAATGTGGGTGATGGCATGCATATAGGGGTTGATCTCACCTTTTCTTTCTTTTGTCTATGCTGAAAAGATTTTCGCAATAACTTTTCAAAAAAAAGATATTACTTCCAAAGAAAATTACCATCCTGGTAATTAAACAGGAGTCACTGGATGTAAACGCTCGTCTTCGGAACCAAACCTGGTGACGGGTCTCAAGCAAAGGCAAAGGATCTTCCTGCGGCGCCGACGCGGGCTCTGCGCCTCTCAGGCCTGCGGCACCACGCGGGCAGAAAGCTCGCACGTTTCCTCCAGGGCTACACCCGACAAATCACTTCATGCGCTCTAGAGCTCGCAGAACCGCGGAGCTCAATGTGGAAGTGGCGCACGAGGGGCTCACGCCGGCGGTTCAGGGAAACCCAAAAAACTCCGCTAGAGAGCTCCCTGGTCCCAGCCCAGGGCTGTCGGCTTGGCCGGACGCGACGCCTAGCCCCCAGTACCCTTCCCTGTACCTCTAGAGACACCTGCACCACTCCCTGGGTCCCCCACTGCGACCCTTGGCACCCCCCGCCCCCCGACAGCCTACCTTCCAAGTCCGCGTCCTCCTCTGAGTCGCTGTCCTCGTCAGCGACATGGTCCGGGCCATGCTCTTGCGTGTGGTAGCCCAAAGAAGAGGCGGCGGGCAGGACTGAACCTTGGGCGCGGGCTTCGCGCAGACGGGTGAAGTACTCTACCGCGAAGTCGACGAGGTCAGGCGGCTGCTGCCGCAGCACCTCCACCGTGTAGCCCTGCAGCAGCTCCGTGAGCCCCGGCGGGATCTGGATGTGGCTCATGCCGGCGGCGACCGCGGAGACTGGCGGGTCTGGGCCGCCGGCAGCCACAACCTCCGCGCTCCTTTCGCCGGCCTCTCGCTCGGCGGGCGCGAGGTCTCCTTACGCACGGCCCCGGTCGGGCCTTCCTCGCGTCGCACTGCTCTCTGGCCGGGTCCGCGTTTCAGGCCGCGCAACCCTAAGCTACCACGGCGGGCCTGGCGGTGCCGCCGCTGTCACTGGGCCGCCGCCGCCGCCGCCGCCGCCACCGCCGCGGGGACCGACGAGCAGGAGAGCTGGACGGGCGGGGCAGGCGCCGAGGTTGTGACGCACGCGGCCGTGGGCGTGCGCGCCCCCGCCGAGCGTCGGCCCCCTGTGCGCGTGCGCCGTTGAGCTGCCAGCTTTTGTAGCAGACGGTTGTCGAGGTGCTCAGGTGCCCGTGGGCTCCCGCTGCAGCTCCCGTCGGGGAACTCGGGAATCATATAATGAATGGTCTACCCGCGAGGTAGGCTTTTTAGTGCCTCTCGCCTGGCCATGAAGACCTTTCATTTATTCTTTCAATACTCGCTAAGAGCTTCTTGTTTGCCAGCACTTACTGAGCACCAGGGACACAACCCTGAGATGCGGAAACACACGACCATCTCAGTGTGGTTCCGGCCGTGGTGAAGGGCATGAGGGCCCACTTTAGGGGGTGACATTCAAGCTGGCCTTGAGGTTTGAGGAGGACCCGACCAAAGGAAGATCTGGAGGAAAGCCATCTGAGCACAAAGCACAACAAAAATACAGGCCTGGTCAAGTCAGGACCACCCTGGCTGCGAAGTGGAATGGTGGAATGACCTTAGGACCCTCAGGAGTCTGGCTGGAGGTCTGTGAGATGTGAAATGGGGAAGGCTCTGTGGGAAGTAAGTAGGAGTTTCAGTAAGATAGTAATTTGATGTCACAGACAGAGAAATAAGTTTGGAAGAACTCACTCAACCTAACGTGTACAGTGAGAAAAGGGAATAAGGCCCAGAGCAGGAAAGACCTCTGTGCCTATTCCTCCTCCTGAGCATTCTTACCAGGGTCCCCAGGTCTAGGTCTGCACACTCCACCCTGGGCCCTGGACCCTGGGCCCTGGACCCTGGGCGAGCACTGCTTGATGAAGTTGAGCACACCACAAGGCACTGTTATCTTTTGCCCCTGGGGAAGAGGCATAGGTGAACTGGAGAGGCCAGGCTATTTAGCAGCTTGCACCCCTTCTTCCACCAGATTGGAAAAGAATAGAAAAAGAAGACCTTCCTGGGATGTCCATGCCACAGCCTAGGTGCTGACCAGTGGCCCAGTGGGCACAGGACAGAGTCCTTTTCCTTGCCAGGCCAAGCAAGGAAGTGACTAGCTGTAGGCTTGAGAACCTGAAGGGCATTTGGAATGGTTAAGCACCACCTGGTAATTACCCAGTATTAATTAAAATCCTCACTAGCACCTCCTGTACAAGCTTGGCACATATCCAGGAGCTCAGTGCTGCTGAGAACTAAGCTGCTTGTCACAGGAGCACCTCATCCCCGCTGGTGCCAGGCCTGTCATTACAAATAGCAGTGTCTCCCTGGACAAGTTCCTTCACCCCTGAGAAGAGTCTTGAGCCATCAGTTTTGTGGGGGGAGGGGCTGTGTCCAACTTGTTCCCTGCTGGGTCTTTATAGTACACTCTTGGAGAAGGTTTACCGATTAAATAAATGATAAATTTCAGCACAGCAAGCAGAGCCAATGAAACTACTCTCCTGACCTCATAGTCTCAGAACTGGGATCCTTTGCTTCAAAACTGTGCTTCTAATCTCAGAATATAAAGACCTCTCACTACAGACAAGCAGTTTGAAGCTGGAGGAGACAGGGTCCCTCACCTCTTCTCTGCTCTTTGGCAGACTGTCCTAAGTTTCCAAGGGTTAGTCTTTGACAGCAATACCCAGGAAACCTGAGTATGACTCCCACTATACCACCAAACCTGGGGATCTGCCCCTCTTCAAGCAATCCTATAGGCAACCCTTTGGAAAGGCAAATTCACAACTCCATTCCCCAGTTTGCCCACATTGTCAGGTTTTATATATTTTAAAGGAGGACAGGTCCTTGTATAGTTAAGACTCCTACCTCAATTACAAAATAGAGGAAAGAAAGGCTATTCCAGGGCTGACAACAGAGCTGAGTATGGGTGGGTTCTCCCATTTGTTCTAAGAAACCCCCACTGGTCAGAAGCAGGCCAGTCTACATGACTTGTTCTCAGATGCCCCATAGCTCTGCTATCCATCCATACAGCAAAAAGCATTCAAAAGGCAACCTATGGCCAGGTGCAGTGGCTCACACCTGTAATCCTAGCACTTTGGGAGGCCAAGGCGGGAGGATTGCTTGAACTCAGGTGTTCGAGACCAGCCTAAGCAAGAGCAAGAACCTGTCTCTACTAAAAATAGAAAAATTAGCCAGGTGTGGTGGTGCATACCTATAGTCCCAGCTACTCAGGAGGCTGAGGCAAGAGGATCAGTTGAGCTCAGGAGTTTGAGGTTGCAGTGAGCTATGATAACACCACTGCACTCTACCCAGGGCAACAGAGCAAAACTCTGTCTCCAAAAAAAAAAAAGGCAACCTAGGCGTGAGGGCCACAGAAAGTGGGAGCCCTGCAGCTGCTCTTCATCTGTCTCTATAAACTAGAGTAAGGATGGACAACCAGCTCCAGATCCAACCACTCTTTCCCCCAGCATTTGGTCCCCAGAGTGGGGGTCCATCTCTGCCCCTTCTATACAACACTTCAGTAGCAAGTGAAGCCCCAAGGGCCTTCATGAATATCCAGCTGAGCTGGCCAAAGAACAGGGCCCTGTAACAGGAGAGAACACTAGAGGCCTGAGCCCCATGTCTGTCACCCTTGTCCTGTATTCATCCTGCCTGCCTTCAAGCCTATCCAGCTGCACCACTGGAGTTACCATGGCAACGAAACCCACAGGCAGCCAGTAACTGGGAAACAGCTGCCAACAGCAAATGATGGTGGGTGGAAAAGGCCAAGAGCAGAGACCCTCAGAAGCAAGAGAATTGCACAGGTGGAGGCCTCAGAACCCTGAGGGTCCTGTACTCCAACCTAGTCTTACATTAACCCAGTAGGCAGTCTATATCTTGCACAGACTGCCACACCACCAGCCACAGGCACATACATGGACACAATGGGGCCAATTCTCAGAGATGTTTACAACTACAGATGCAGAGTAGCACAGATGGAATGCATATTGTTTAGCCCAACAGCAGTGGGTCTTGGTGAAAATGAACATGGATAGGGTACCAACTGCTGTTTCCAATGAAGCAATGGATTTCATGTACTCTTGATGGGTTTATTTAAAGGTTTTTTTCTGGCCGGGCACAGTGGCTCATTCCTATAATCCTAGCACTCTGGGAGGACAAGGCAGGAGGACTGTTTGAGCTCAGGAGTTCAAGACCAACCTGAGCAAGGCTGAAACCCTGTCTCTACAAAAATAGAAAAATTAGCTAGGCATCATGGTGTACTCTTGTAGTCCCAACTACTCAGGAGGCTGAGACAGGAGGATCGCTTGAGCCCAGGAGTTTGAGGCTGCAGTGAGCTATGATGACACCACTGCACTCTACCTAGGACGAAAGAATGAAACTCTGTCTCAAAAAAAAAAAAGGAAATTGAACCCCCCTCCCAACTCCCTCTTCATAAAAAAATAAATTTTTCCCCATCTCTCTCTCTTGCTCTCTCTCTCTTCAGAAAGAAGGGAGAAGCCCAAACTCCCCAGAACTCCTCAGAAGGCCTGCTCTTGGCCCAGAGTCCCCGCTACCCCCCAGCTTACATAACTTACGCCCACTGCCTACCAGGGGAACTCAGCCCCAGCAGGAACATTTCCCTCTTACCTAACCAAGGGACCACTTCTCTAAGCCACTCTGGTCTCCTACCTGTCTCCTGGAACCTGCTGGTCACTTGACTACTGCATGCCAGCCCCTCGCTAATCTAGTCCTTCCAACTCACTAGTACCTACCAGCACCAGTTTCTATTTTGCCTTAGAAGTGTTCATGAAACTCTAGTTTGCAGGAGGGATTGGGCAAGTGGGCTATGTTTCCTGTGCCCTCACCCAAGCTATCCTTCAGCCTCCATAGTGCCTCCCGCATGAGGCTACTGCCTTTGGTCCAGGAAATCCGATCTATTTTAATAAGTGTCCATGCTCCAGGGAGCAATTAATTCCCAGGACACCTGTTTCTGTGTCTATTATCCACCCCTTCCCTGGTACACTGTGTCCTGAGAAAGTGTCAGTCTCTGCAGTAGACCCATGGTCTGCCTCTGAGACATCTCAGGGCAAGGACAGAAGCTGAGAAGCATAGGGAACCTGGCTGGAGGGTCGCAGACTTGCATGCTTACCATAGCAGAGAAAGCAGAGGGAGCCCTCAGGGACCACCTGGCTCTGGGGCCTTCCCAGTGCCTCTCAGGACTCTGTGTGCCACCCCTGTGGTACAGACAGGCCTCCTCAAGCCTGGGTCAAGCAGCCCCAGGACAGCCTCTGATAGCATCACAAGTCTTTCTTCAGGATACCCAGAGAACAGTCTCCACTCTATTATCAACTTGCCAATGACCTTTGAAGATCAGTATACCCTGTCTACATCTTGGCTTCGACATCTAAAAGTGGGGGTAAAAATCCCTACCCTTTAAACATTGAGTTACAAGGAGATAAAGAAATGAGAGAGGCTGGGCGCGGTGGCTCATGCCTGTAATCCTAGCACTGTAATCCTGGGAGGCCGAGGCGGGCGGATTGTTTGAGCTCAGGAGTTGAGCAAGAGCGAGACACCGTCTCTACTAAAAATAGAAAGAAATTAATCGGACAACTAAAAATATATAGAAAAAATTAGCCGGGCATGGTGGCGCATGCCTGTAGTCCCAGCTACTCGGGAGGCTGAGGCAGAAGGATTGCTTGAGCCCAGGAGTGTGAGGTCACTGTGACCTAGGCTGACGCCACGACACTCACTCTAGCCCGGGCAAAAGAGTGAGACTCTGCCTTAAAAAAAAAAAAAAGAAAAGAAAAGAAATGAGAGAATGAACCTATGAAGAGGTTAGAAAAGGTATAGAGGATTACAGCCTCAAAAGGCTGTAGGAGGGAGACGTCTCTACAAAAATGGAAAAATTAGCCGGGTATGGTGGTGCTGGCCTGTAGTCCAGCTACTCAGGAGGCTGAGGCAGGAGGATCACTTGAGCCCAGGAGTTTGAGGTTGCTGTGAGCTATGATGATGCCACTGCACTCCAGCTCGGGCAACAGAGCCAGACCATGTCTCA